CACCTGCGGAATAGTCCTAGCAGAAAATGAAAATGAGCAATTTTATGCGCGATCAAACACGCCACCACGCTGTGCCTGCAAATGAGGCGCAGTGCGGCAAAGACGAAGCGTTAATTTGGCGTTAATTAGATACTTTTTTGCCAAACACGACGAATACGTCATCGCTGTTGTAGTAGGAGAAGTCCTGGGAGTGGACGTCAATGCCGTTATCGTGCAGCGCCTGCAGCAGCTCTTCCTCGGTAAGGTAGTAGCAAGTGAATCGCTTCGAACCGAGCGTATAAAATTTTTCCTCCAGTGCACCGCCGAGGAACAACCACCCGCCGGGCTTAATTAAAGAGCATAGGTTTTTGACGGCCAGCTGGTACTCTGCGCTTGTACTCGACGCATACTCGAGACAGAACACGCTGGTCACAACGTCAAAGGTCATGTGCGCATACGGCGGTGGCAAAACCGGTTTGTTGTGCACATTGCAGTAGAGGATGGCACTCACCCGCTTGCGGGCCACCTCCTCGACACTGTGCCATTCGTCGCTGTTGCCTTCCAGTTTAGCGATCGCCTCGGCTGTCGGTCGCCAGTCGAAGTTAGCCTTACCGCGACACCAATTCTGCAGTTCCCTGCGATTCTGGTCAGCGAAATCGGACAGGTAGATATTGTCCACCTTGTGCCGAAAGCCCATGGCTACGTACACGGTTGGACCGGAGCCGACGTCCAGCAGGGTAGAACAGTGGGGTAGCCGAGCAGCGACGCTGGGCAGAAAGGCGATGGGCAGCTTCAGTCCGCCGATCATGTTGCTCGAGCCGTAGTACTCATTCAGGTACTGCTGTGGCTCGAAGTAGTTCTTGTGGTCTCGGGGAGCCAGCAGTGTCATATCTTGGCACTGCTGGGACGCATCTCCCATCGATCCCACGTGTTGCTCTTCGGTCAGCTGAGGAACGAGCATTGTCGCAGCAGCAGCGGTGGTCGCTTGCAGAGCTGACATGTGTACGGTGCTTCTTGCGCGACTGCTAATACGTATTTATTAGCGCGCCTGTGATATTTCGGGAAACCTGCATTCGTCTACGCCTGCCTGACTCGCACTCTACAACGGCTGATATGATGAAGTGCAGGTAGGCGCGACTTCACGTCAATCGCTAGCGATCAACACTGTCCACCCATGTGCCGTCCTGCTCCACCCATCGTCTCTGCGCTCCGCCCTTGATAACAACACTCGTCAACTCATAGCTACTGATCTTGGATGATCCATGGGTGCCTATGCTTACTACTCTGCAACGAAGCCATCCGGATTGGTGCAATTTCTGCCATGGCAGGCGCATATCATATGTTGCCAGCAGCTAAGCCACTACCCGTTCCTCAACGAGGTTATCCAGCATCGTTGCAGATCATTAATTTTCAACCGATTGCATCGTTCATTTTTTTAAAATCTGATTCCTGAAGGTTTCCAACTTCCATCCATCATTTTGCTTCAACTG